TAAACAGACCCAATGCTGGTGCCAGTCCCAACATATTACTGTTGGCCATTCTTTGAAAACTTGCTGTGTACACGTATCTTTGGCTACTAAATCCAGACTGAACATACTGTGAATTAACTTTTACAGTAATTATGTCAAATCCACTGGGCTGGCAAGGAATGATGTCAGAAATAAAATATGCAAGTAATGGGGTGGTATCTGTGATAGTAAACTAGAAAAAACTGAGGGACTGTCACTAATACTCTGCTTTTTTTAAATGACTTAGGTGTGATCACCATAAACTATAGTGGCAGGGCCAAGATTTAATGAGCATAGTTATCATCACAAAACAAATTGTACAAACACAGGTGAAGTGATCTGTTTGTCAGGACTCACCAGCCATGCTCAAATTCCCTGAAAGTGTTCCCATGGCAGCAATTATTGTGATATAGATGGGATTTGCTAAATTTTGAATACATTTGAAATGTAAATAAATATATTGTCCTAACAAAACATGAATTCAGAGAGAGAAAATTTAGGTTCAAGGTAGTTGTGTGTTATTAAAAGGTTATTAAAGGCTATGTTTACAGTACTGATAAAACTACTTATATTGAATTTGCCATGCAAGTACATTATATTTTGCTGTAGTCTTTAGTCTTAATGTGTTATGTGGTAGCTGAATGAACTGTGGTATAAAACTGATAATCATTAGAGGATTTCCCAGAACTAGATGCAAAGGTGAACTGTGCGGATGGGACAGAGTAAGGAAAAATTGCAGAGGGCAATACTTTGCAAAGCACTTAGGTGTCATTTTCAAAATGAAACTTAGGCACTTGAAAACCGAAGCCTCACTGGAGGAGTCTATATGAGATGCTTTTCTCGAGATTAGATCTAATTACTGTGCAGCAAATATCAGTCTACACATGCATGCGCTTACTGCATAGTAACTTGCTCTAATTGCAAGTAAATTTGCTATCTGTAAATACAAATAGCAAATTAACTCCGATTACTTACTATGCAGTTGCACATGTGTAGACACCTGACTAGGAGCACATTTGCTCCTGGTCAGCTGGGCAGCAGGGGATTGGAGATTGCCTGCTGTCAGGGTAGGCTCTGCCACTGGAGCCTGGGCAGGGACAATGTCCTCCTGCCTCAGCAGCAGGGAGCTCTGAGCCCCTGCTCCATTATCCCAGGGCTGAGGCTAGGAGATCCTTATCTCCCAGCCTAACCTCTGCAGTTGCAGTGCCAGCACTGGGAGATTCTTGTCTCCCAGCACCAGCTTGCAGTTTCCCAGTGCCAGCTCCCAGGATCTCCCAGCTCAGGCCCCATGACTGCAGGGTTAGGGCTGGGAGATAAGGATCTCTCAGTCTGCGCCCGTTGACTGTGGAGCTTGGGCTGGGAGATGAGGATCTCCCAGCCCTGGCTCCCTGACCATGGAGCTCAGGCTGGGAGATAAGGATCTCCCAGCTCCACAATCATGATCACAGAGCAGGGGGACACTGTCCCAACCTGAGCACTAGTGGCAGAGCCCACCCCAGCAGCAGACAGCTCCTGGGGGCAGGGAGCAATGTCCTAGTCCTGGCAGGAGACCACTGTCTCCTGGCCCCATGCTCTCTGACAGCCCCTGGGCTAGAATCCAGCTGCAGGGTGCCGGTGTACTGCCAGTGGGGGTAGGAGCAGGTTGTTGCCATGAGCAGCAAATCTTCTCTCAAGTCACTTGCATGTGTAGACACGTGCCCACGTCAGTTTGCTCTAGAGTAATTTACTCTAGAGTAAACTGATCCTACATCATTTGCATGTGTAGATATGCCTACTGAAAGTCAATAAGATTTAGTCTCTTAATTGTCTGTCGCTTAGGCTGATTCTACTACACATGCACATAAAGGTGCAATGGGATCTAATGTACAATTCACACAGTCATGTTTCCTGCCATACCACATCTGACAGATGAACAGGGCTCCCAACCACAGGTTAGACTCTGATACATTAAAGCTTAATAGCAACCATTACGTGCAAATTAAAGCTTGATAGCAACCACCTATAAAGTTAGTACACATTTTCAAGGTCTAATTTTATAGCTGTTTGGAGCTTTTTACTGTGTGATAGCTACTTTGCATATGCAGCTGGTCTCCAGGTAACTGTGCAATTAACCAGTTAATTGCATGATACCTATAGCTTGTAGAGGGGCCCTTAGAAACGTGTGACTTGAATATTCTGTTTTAGGTCTGCAAATGGTGACAGGAAGTTTCTGTTGATTGTTCATTGACCTATATACCACCAGCTTTCCTGTTGTGAGCTACCAGCAGTGCATGTAGTAGGCTGTGCTAGTATGGGACTCTCTATAAAAATATCTAAGTTCTTTCTAGCAGCTCTTCTTGGTCATGGAGAGAAGTTGTATCTTGAAACAGGGGGTCTTCTTGGGGCCAATCTCATTGTAGCCCATCCACCTGTTTCTGGGCTAACCGCCTGCCTTCTTGCCCACCACGCCTTGTTGGAATTAATTAGTTAATGATGTAATTAAGCAGGAGGCTGCCCATTTCCTTCCCTGATGCCAGAGGGCGCTATCTGCAGCTCCATTCCTTCCCTACACCACAGCCCAAGCCTTGCAGATGGCACCTCAATGTTATCATTATCACTGGCCCCCACACTGGGCCCCAGAATCCTTTTAATTGAACCCCGCCTGGATTCCTCTCCTCAGGCAGCCTATTTCACCTTCATAGTTCCCTGAACTGCTTCCCCCTTTGGGTGTGGTCCCCCTCCCAGGACCTTCAGCTCACTAGCCCTGGCTCACCTCCAGGCCAGTTGGAACCCCAGGCCCTCAGCTCTTGGGTGTTCCTCGCAGTGGGCCCCCAGCCCTTTGACCCTTCCAGTCCTGGCCCCAGCATTGACTAGTCGGGAGAAATGTCAGACAGGCATGAGTCTATGGCCTCACTCTTTCTCCATGGGGTCCACCTTCCAGACCCTCTGAACAAGGGGTAACCCACCCAGTTGTTGGGGCTAGGGGTTAAGGCACCCCAACCCGCCTTTCACCAGGGTGGTAGCTGGCCTGGCATTTCCTGGGGGCTCCCGCGCCACTGGGAGCCCCACTAGGCTACCTACTCCCAGCAGGGTGCAGTTTTAGGTCATACCTAGGACCAGGAGCTTCCTATCCATCCCCTACAGTTCCTCCCTTACCTCCAGATGATACCAGCAGCCCTCCGGCCAGGCGATGTTGTTGCCTGGCTTCCAGCAGCAGAGCTGCCCAGTTTATATGGGCAGCCCCTGGTTCAAAATGGCTGCCCTCATCAGGCACGTGGCAGCTGCCAGCTCCAGGCCCTTAAAGTGGCAGGCACACACAGTGCCTTAAAGTGGCAGGCCACATATCTCCTCAGTATCTGAATGAAGGAAATAATATTCTTATTGTAAATCTAAATTATGTAAAAGCATGTCTGTTGAAAATGGAAAGACTTGTTCTGTAATGCCTATATTTAAATAAGTCAGTATACCCTTGTGCACCCCAAAACCTCAGAGCTGGCATTAGTGTTTAAGGAGATCCTAGTTGGATTGCATATAAAAGTCATAATTACATTGTGAGTTGACCAAACATCCAGAGAAAGTTCACTTGTTTATGATCCATTCAGACCAGGGTGGATAAAAATCAATGATATATATATAAAAAAAATCAGATTAAAAAATTAATTGGATTTTATTTTTTATTTAAATTATATTTTCCTATTTAAAAATAAACCAGATGAAATAAAATTTGAATTTAGCACAGCATAAGATAAAGTATAAATTTATGTATAAATGTATAATCTTATTAAAATAATTTAAATAAAATAATATATTGACTCAGTGAGCTTCTACTAAAAACTCTGGACTTAAAGAATGATTTTCTTCTATATAAGAATGGGAGAGAGGGAGGGGTAGGAATATCTAACTTTTGAGGTCAAGCCTAAAAAATATGGCACAATATTTCGCATAATTAGTAGGGGCGCGACCCTGCAAGGGATGTAGGATCTATACTGCTGGATGCAAGGGATCTGCAAGGCCATCACAGGTGTTGGAACCCAATCTCGGACTCCCAGCACACACCATCATGTGAAATCCTTGATCAGGATTATCCACTGAGCCCAACTGTATGGTATCAATCCTGTTTTATTTTCTCTAACTGATCTTGGATTAGCTCAGCTCTCAAATTATGAATATTCATGATTCTGTCCCCATAATGGAGGCATATTCTCCAGGTCACGGAAAAACAACCATCTGCTCAGTAACTGCCAATCCCTTGCTCCTGAGTGGTTCTTGATACTTCAGTACAGACTTCTTGGTACTTCTTGGTCCCTTTGAGACATATGAGTTAAAAAAAACTTGAAAGAATAGGGTAAAACAATTCTAGGTTAAAAAAATGACTGTCTGGTTTTAAGGAGAATTAGGCAAATGAGAACTTAAGCTCAAATCACTTTCACCTAGGCATTTTAGAATTTTTTTTCTCAAGCTGACCTGAAATAATTGGTTTAATTCACTAACCACAGTTCATGCTTATCGAACAGTTCGTACTAATACTATAGCAGTTAATACTGGTGTTAATAAATTAGTTAGTTGTAAATGTGTACCATGTTTTGATAAGAAAAGTTCTGTATCCAGCCATTAAAGTATTATTTAATAAATTTGAAGTGCTGTTTTTGTGTATTTAATTAAATTCAAGTTTCCATCTGAATGCAGCTTGATGCAAATATGAGCAAAAATGAATTATATAGTAAATAAGAAATATATTTTCACCATTTTACAGCATTATGTTAAACATATTAATACAAGCATATGCTTAACATTAATATGTGATAAAATGGTGAAACATATAGTGAATATTTCACCATTTTAAGCATACTAATATATTAAGCATATTATGTGTAAGCATTTACATATATTTGCTTATACGTAATATGCTTAACATATTAGTATGCTTAAAATGGTGAAATATGTTTCTTATTCATTTATGTTTCCTAGGTACACAAATTTTTCAGAGAGTATTTTGCTTTTTTCCCTTTCCCACCATGTAGATGTATTCACACGTTATCCCAATGAAAATAAATTTGAGTGTACTAGGGATATAGACAAATAAGTTAAAGTGAGTTAAGAGAACTGTGTGCCTTCTTACCACTTAATAAGGGGAAGCTAAATCTGCAAGGATGTTCTCTTTTTTCATCCCAAGAAAACAAACCAATTTAGTGTTCCGCTTACAGAAGGAAGATGCATGTGGAACAAGTCCCTGCTCTCTACTAATACACTGTAACTTCTGTCTGTACCTTAAGCAGTATTTGCAGCAGTGAAGTTTAACTGTCATAAAATAGAAGCAAAATGAAAATAAATCCCTGAAAGATTCTCTTTGGATGATGAATACTGTGGCCATTTACTGTTTTCACGGTAGTTGCAGGATGATGAGGTTTCCGTGTCTCTTCTGTGGTGGACTGTAAACAGCTATTATTCGCTCTGCATCTGACAAACTAAGCTTCTTTCTTGAAGAGCCTGCTGTTACAAAAATTACAGTAATCTCCCTGTCAGTTTATTGGATAACAAATCAAATTAGGTCATTTTATCTATATATCTCATTCACATAACAGATTTCCTATTATAAACACACAATGACACTTCAAAATAAAATGATACTGTATAGGATGAATTTAGCCACAAAGTTCAGCAAAAACATTTCTACTAAAAATGACCTGTCTCAGAAGTTAAAATATTGAAAAAATAATTTATTAGAATTGCTATTATAGGAGATAGGGGATAAATCTCTTGAGTGTTGAGCCCTAGGCCAGAAAAAACACATTTGTGAGGTGTGTAATGGTATATGTTAAATAACTGTTAACTGAATAACCGCCTGACAGCATGCAGTCTAGGCAACAAACATTAATGCTTTTTTCAGTATGTGTTCTTGTGAAGACATTTCAGTATTGAACTTTGGCAAAATTTGGCTGTAAAGGAAACATGTTTTAAATCAATGGGGTGACAACTTTTTAGGCAGATGTGCCACATTAAGCCACATGCCTTCCCCGAATGCCACTCCATTTCCCACCTCCTGCCTGATCTGCTGCTCTGCTTTGTGCTCCCTATCAGCTACTCCTCTCCCTGATCTGCTCCTCTCACTTTGCTCGCTACATTGTGCTCTGTGCCCAAGCTGCCATTCTGCTTTCTGCTCCCTGCACTATCTACTGCTGTGCTGTCTGCCCCCTCTCTGATGTGGCGTGTGCCACGCAGAGACTACCTGTGCCACTTGTGCCACAAGCTGGCAACGCTTTGTTTAAATCACAGGCCCAGCAAGAGTTCTTTATTGTGCCAAGTTATTTGATGTTAAGTAAATAAACCTAGTTTTGGCTGTCACCAATTCTGCCACAAGAAAAGCTGAGTTTTCCTCAACTTGCTTTTATCTGTTCAAATTCAAAAATGTATATAGAAGTTTATAAAATAGGATAACCAAGATACGGAATCTACAAGTTAAGGGTTCAAAGGTAGAGTATAATGGTCAGAAACTTTAATTATGTAGGCATTAGAAATAATGACACATTAAAAACAGGTTAGCTGGAATACCGTTTTAATTTGAAGAGATAATAGGTAGATGGACTGATTATATTTTACTTAACAATGTTATATGATTTAAGATGGTAAATTCTTAAGACAGGAAATCTTTCACTGGTCCTACAACAGAATGAACTGTAAGTCTTAAGAGAATTGATCTGAATTTACCTGAAAATCTCCAAAAGCCTTTGCAAAGTTCTTTATTTCTTTCTCTCTGTTCACCTATATACAATACATATACACATGCTTTCTGTAGTATGGGTTGATCTGTCAATTACTGTAATGACTCTGTTCTACAATGGCCATGTTAACACTGTTCTCTGTTGAGCCCAAAACCATTACCAAGAAACAAGCTTTTCCTTCCCATTCCCCTAGTCCATCCAAACTAGGCAGTTAGGCAGTGAAGATAGCTTTAAGGTGGTCCAAAGGACATGGTGTGGGATGGAGAATGGGTTTGTTAGTTGGCAGGCTAGGTATAGACATTGCCTTTGTGTTTTGAATGAAACTGGCTGCATCTACATGAGACGCTGACTGTGCAATCATTAGTGCCCAAGCATTTAATAGTTGTATAAACAAGTACTAAATGACTGCACAGTAACTGGAGTAACTGAGCAGTAGCACCACCAAATGGCCTTTAGGTGATGCTGATTGTGCAGGAGCTCATTACTACTGAGCAGCAGCGTCGCATCACACTTCTTTCCATGGGATGCTACTGCACAGTAGTAACAAGATACTGCAAAGTCAGTATCTTGTGTAGATGTGACCACTGAGTTTAAAAGCAGGCATTCAATATTATTACTGAAGCAGAATGCAACCTTAAATACATATATTTATTTTTAAAACTTTAGGTTAGCAGTTTTCTGTAAACACTATTATTCATAGTACTGGAGCAGGTATTACTTCTACTGGTCTTAGTCATTAACTGCCCATTACTGCTACTGCTGCTAGGTTCAGAAGTCTGTTTACAGCACAGAAGGTTACCAAGCTGTTTCTGACACTCAGAAGAAGCATAATAGTAAATTAAAGGATCAATGCAACAACTGATACTGCTAATACAAGCACAGAGGAGATAGGCAAAATAGATAGATTCTAAACTGATGTCATAAGAAAAATATGCATAATGGATTAATAAAAGGACATTTGTTGGTCCAAAACAAACAATAAAAATGCAGAAAACAGCTGCAGACAGAAGTAAGGCTCGCATTTTCTTACTTTGCTTTGCAATGATGTCAGAAGAACTAAGGCACCAGATGATAGATACATAACAGATGGTGGTAATTATTAATGGCACAAAAAAGAAAATGGAAGAGAAAATGAGGAAGAATATAGAATAGAAGCCTTTAAGTTGACGTTCGTCCAACACATCATGGCAAGTTGTAATATTTAAGGTAGAGACTTCCATAGTTTGCTGTGTGATGAGAAGGGGTACAACACCAACTACTGCTATAACCCATATGGCAAAACAGATTATCCAGGCACGTGTTAACGTACGCCATGTGAGAGACTCCATGGGATACACTACAGCGCAGAAACGATCTATGCTTATAACAGTCATCAGCAATATTGAACAGTACATGTTACAGTAGAAGGCAGCAGTAACAAAACGGCATATTTCTGGTCCAAACACCCAGTTGTTTCCAGAAAAGTGGTAGACAATCCTAAAGGGAAGCACACTTACAAATAGGACATCTGCAGAGGCCAGATTCAGCATATACACCACTGCTGGCTTTTTCATTTTAATTTTTATCAGGAACACAAGAATTGCCACAATGTTCAGAGGGAGGCTTGTCAGAACCACAAACGTGTAAACTGAAGGAACCAAAAGAGTCAGCCATCGACTAGCCAGGTATCTTTCAGCATCTTCTGAGATGGATCTCGCTGGCACTTTGGTCTTATTGATGGAGATTGATCCAACTTCTGAATCATTTCCATTATTGTGGTTGTAGTCAAAGGTGGGCTCAGGTATAGGTTCATATGTGATATATTTGTTATAGCGTACAAAGGTTCGTGCCCCGGCACTATCATTGCCAAACAGGATGCCTGAAAAAAATGCAGAATATGAAAATTAGCAGTCACGACATTTGCACGCTGTGGAAATCTTCCCGGAAAGAGGGATGGTCCTATGCTTCCCGCACGGCCCTGTGACTCAGGAGATGCACATTCAGTTCTCAGCTTCATCGCAGGCTGGTGGTGTGCCCTTGGCCAACTCACTTGCTCCCTCTCCCTTTCTCTTCCATCCCCGGACTTCAGAATTGTGCAGGCAGGCGTGTAAACAAGGCGCTGGCATCCTGCCAGGGGCTCCAAATGCCACCCTTTCCTGCTGCCCTCTGAATAGCTTTGAGGCCCCATTTTCACTTCCTGAGCTGTCAGGGCCTCAGACGAAAGCAGCAAAGAGCTTCGTCCCCTGGAAAAACCATGCGACCCTGCCACTCAGCTGCCTATGCCAGGCATGGCCCCAGCCTCGCTGGACAGGAGAGCGCCGATCCTCGACCGGGGCCCTGGTGCGCCCTTTCTGGGAGCCCCGCGGGACTGCATCCACCCCACAAGGGCCACAACCAGGAGCCGGTGGCATCCAAGCAAAGCAGCTCGCGTCTGTGGCAACGGGAAAGTCCTTTGTTCTCTGTCCCCGGGGAGGGCTCCAGGCTAAAACCCGGGGCAGAGCTGAGCACTCACCTGTGCCCGGGCGGGCGGCGGCGGGCGGCGGCGGGCAGACGAGCGCCAGCACCAGCGC